CCCCAAAACCCCAAAACCCCAAAACCCCACAGTTGGATGATCCATTGAGATTTTTATAAAAATGCACAAGCTTTAAGATGGAATTATCTTGAAGGATACTTCATAAGTCTCAACCTATCTGAAAGTATTTCCTGCAGCCTTCACTTTATGAAGATGACTAGTTGAAGTATTTGAAAACTGAAGGTTTTCATAAGAAACCTTGAAAGGTTTCAAATGGGAGGGGGTAACTCTCATGATCGATTTCGTAGATACCTTAGGTAATGTCAGATTAGATATTCTCTGGCTCTTGTTATGTACCAGAGTCTCTTCCTTCTCATTCATGTTAGGGATGTCAAGGTTTATTTTCTTCCTATTTACTGACTTGGCTTGTTTATAAATCTCATCCTTGCCGTTCATGTATTCATTCAGCTCAATCTGAGTGCTATGTTTGTTTTTCTATTGGAATAAGGCATAAATTACTCTTTTCGCAACTTTTCTATAGCTCTCGGCTACAGATTGATTCCTTTTCTTAAGGTCTGTCTTGGAATCTAACGAATACTTCTTATCAAACAATGAGTCCTCTCTTTCAGGTTTTTCTTCAATCTGATCTTTTTCTTCTAAACATAAGTTCCAAAGATACCATCAGGGATACTTTCTGAGAAGAAGGAGGTTACTTCTTCATCACTTGGTCTGAATTTTGACTGTATTTTATTCACAGTGAACCCACTAAATGGATGTTTTTGCACTGTATTTTAGGACAAAAAATACCTGTCTTATTCATAACTCTACCTACACCAGACTTCAAACTGAACAGCTTTGAATTTGGCTTCATGTCTGCTGGATTATTGAGCCTCCCAAAGAGGTTGGCTATGTTCTTAGAAGTCATAGCTGATGCTCTCTCATGTTCCTTCATTCCTTGTTTAAAGCTCGCATTGACGCTTTCTTTAATTATTGAACTATTCTTGCCATTCTTCAGAAGCGAAAAGATCTTATGACGGTTGAAATCAATTTCTCTGGAGTTTTCCCTGACTTGAAATTTTATGATGTCTACCTTTTTAGTGAATTCCTGAAGAGCTACCTTCAGCTCTAATAGGCTTTTGTTAAAGGTACTCTCTACCTTACTGACAGACTTAGAGTTGAGGGTCTGCGAATTCTCCGAGGAATAGGTCATCCCTCTTTTGGGGGATTCCTTCCTTGGTGAACCTGACCTTACTCTTTCGGTTTTGAGTACCTCGGATACTTCAGAACTTTCTCAAGACTTCTTCTGAATGCTCTTCTCAAGAGACTCTTGGACAGAAATTATAGGATCTTCAGGTATCTGAGGGAGGGGAGAGTTCTCTCCCTTAGTATCATCCCTGGTATTATACCTATGATCATACATCGAAAGAGGAGTCTCTTTCTTATCAATCTCCTCCTCAGGATTTCTTGGGAGCTTGACATGGACTTCATTATGATCAGACTCTTCGAATACTACGGATTTTTCTTGAATTTTCTCTATTCTTTCATCAACATCTTCTTTATACGTCTCAAATTCTTTGGTGAATTTATTCAGATCATTCCTGACAGAGCTCAAGAGAGTTTCAGTGTCTTTTATCTGGTTAAGTGCTAACTGGTGGTCTTGGTAGGCCTTAACTATTTTAGAGGTAAGAAGTTGCTCAAGTTTGTTGGACTCCTGATTGAGTTGTTCAATGGCCTTCTTAAACGTTCCTTCATCAACAGAACTTACATTCTTGAGCTCAACGATGCTTTCCTCGAATTTTGTATTTATGCGATCAATTTCTAGTTGAATATTATCACCAATGTGCTCTTGAAGTTTAGTTTCTAAGATATAAGAAGATATTGAGACATACCAGACTGAGAAATTTGTTCGTTTAGAGAAGCAATGAACTCCTTCTTAACAACTTTTAAGTGCTTTGTTAGGAAAGTTTTGAGCTCTTTCTGTCCATTATCGATTTTGTCATTCATAGTTTCGATTTCCTCCTGTTTTTGGAGAAGAGTTTTGTCTATCTCAGCGGCAAAGATTTGCAAAGAAGCATATTTTTGATCTTCCCCAATAAGGTCTGGCACTTGTAGCTTCTTGTTCATTGTCTTATGCATTGATTCTTCAAGATCTAGATAAAAAATGAGAAATAATCAACAGCTTATCGACCCTACATTCAAGTTGTTTCTCGATCATCCTCTGGATATCAAATTTGCAGTGTTCAACACTATCCTGGATATGGGATTTAATAGTGCCGTACTCTTCCATCTTGGCTAACTTTGCAGTAACAGATTTGAACTGATTTTGCATGTCCATTTCATAGGTTTCGACTTGAGCTTTGATTTTGACTGTCTCATTTTCTAGTCTTTTCCTCTGCATGTTGTAAACCTGACTGATATTATTTTTCTAATCTAGCACTTTTATTATCAACGCTTTCCTCTAGTTTCTCCATTTCAGTGGCGGTTCTATTCATTTGAAAGTCAACTTTGGCTGTGAGATCCTGGAACTTCTGCTGCTGATCTGTGAAAGCCTGGTCTTTCATTCTGAGGTCATCCAGAATGGCCTTGACGCAGTCAACCAAGGGATATGGGATGTTGTTCCACTCGTCAGGATTTACATCTGATATTTTGAGTTTTGGCAATTGAGAAGCAACGCTCTTCTCAATAGTTAGTTTATATGGGCTCTCTTTGGAATCTTGGTCGCATTCAAGGGAGCTCTCACTGGAAGTGTGACCAAATTGCTTCGTGATTCCTCCTAAATTATGAAGTCCTGAGAAACAAAAATTAAAGTAAGATCGAAAGGGGAAGGTGGTTTAAGAAAACTAGAAGAGAAGTAAGGAAATATATTAATTGGAAACTTTTAGGAGAAAATAAGGGGTTTTGGGATGAAGAGTGAAGAGAAATTTTTTTAAATGAAATGAAAAGAGAGTTTTTATAAGTCACAGCTTCATTTGCTCAAAGCTTAATATTTTTATCCAAATATCTGTCATAATAAGACCTTCAACTTTAGAATAAACAAAGCTATACTCTCTTCACAATATCCCCAAATTTATCATTCTTACTTCCTTCACCTATCAGATCGTTCACATCCTTCCGACTCTGTATTACAGACTTTCTTCTCTCACATTTAGGTCCCTTAGGTACCGTCAGTTTTTTCTTTTTCTTCATTGTCTGTCGCATAGACTTTTCCTTCTTCTTCCTCTTCTTCTCCTTAATCTTCATCTGTTCGATTTCCTCAGAACCATCGTTCCTATAAAACATCTGTTAAGACCCTAAGGCACCATATACCATCAAATATAAGCTCGATGCGCTATCCATTCGAGCTCTGGGCTGTACGCATCACTCACAGGCCAATAAAAAATCACTAATATCTTACATGAAGTCATCATAACTGTCCTTATCAGTGTCCATTTCAGTAGTGAAAATTTTATATAAATATTCATTACATTCATAAATAGAAGGGGTTTTGGGGTTTTGGGGTTTTGGGG